TTTTGCTGTTTTCCCCCGCCCTCCTGTGTGAAGGTTTGGAGACTGTTCCCTAGAGAGAGTGCAGGGGGAAGTGAAATTGACACTGGCGCTTGGAGATGAAGATCTTAGGGAGAGGAGTGGGGAAAGAAAAATGTTTGGATTTTTGATCACTGTGAATCTATTTAGAATTCAGTGATCTGTGCAATTCTGATTACCACTATCTTGAAAGACTATGATTTGGCTTTGGTTTTGCTATCAAATGTTGTTAGTATTGGCAAAAACAGCCCTAGTCTCTTCCAGACTATTATGCAGTACAAAGCCAAGTCTTAATAAAAGCTAGTGACAAGAGAATTATGTCCCATAAAACTGTTATTTGTTGAACATACAGTATCAGTTAACCAAGAACTTGCTGTAATTCAGAGTTATCCACATTTCAGAGAGATGCCTAGGCTTAAAATGCCATTTTGACTGTACATTTCAAAATGGGGTTAGATTTTTAAAGAGAAATTTCCAGGAATTTTCTTCTTCTTTTTATATCAGGTATGTTTACAGCAGAATGTCACTAAATGATTTTTGAAAAATCAAATAAATGAATGCTTTTTTCGTATCTTTGTTGACATGAAGGATGATTTTGTAAATGTGGAAAGTTAAATTCTAGCATGTTCTTTAACTTAGAAAAACATTAATGTAGTAGTGGGGTAACTTTATTATAGCAAATTCTTGGTCAACTGATACTCTGTGTATCACCTTTAAAGATTCCAGCTAAGAATGTCTTCTTTCACAAAGTATCACTAAACTGACATGTTTTCATGGACTCTTGTATGTTTTTCTACTGACCAAACTAAAGTGAGTTCACTCCTGTCCAGTAGAAGGATATTTCAATAAAGTGATTTTAGGATCTGAAAGCTACCTATACATCACAACCTACCTTTTTATACCAATATATACTAGGAGTATCAATTTTGTCTTTTTTCTCTTCCTTGTAAGTACAGATATTTATAGGAAGAATAATTAGAACACAGAGTGTGTCTGAGCCATATTTTAGCCAGTGGGAAGTTGGATTAGGACTGTCTTGCCCATTAGAGTTTGTGGTATGGCGTGGAATTCTTTGAGGGGCATAGGAAGTAGGTAGGTCCCTAACTGTAGAGTTCTCTGAGTGCTTCCAAAGACCACTGATTCTCTAAGGCCCTCTTATGTAAGGAATTACTTTCTGACTTGGATCTCAACTCTAGTGGATTTATGACAACTATGTTTCCTTGTGTACAAACTGGAAGAAGAAGCAGAGCTGCTTGAAAATGCAGAGAGATGGTGCCTAAAGCAGACGGGAGATGCAGACCGTCATAATGTGGAGTCCTGATTAATAGCTGAGAAGACTGAGGTCTGAGACGTTAGATTTACACTCATTACCTGAAGAGTCAGTGACTCCCATCTCAACTGTCCTGACTCTGCTTTCTTTTTGAGATGGTGGTTGGGTGGGGGGGCATTACTTGTATTTAGCAAAGTGAAGTGCATCTTTTTGGGAAGAACTAGTTTCTCTATCATCATGATCTTTTAAAATAATTTTACTCAGAAAGGAATGAGATAGGAGGTAGACACTTATTCCATTAAAATTATTTTATTTTTACCTACTCGGTTTACTGTGTATCATCAGTTTTGTCTTTTTGTGTGTGTATGTGTGTGTTTTTGGCATGTGTAACCAAGAGAATCTTTCAAGTTTATTGCACTATAGATGTCTCAGGAATTCAGTTTAAAAATTGGGCTGGTGTGGAGTCATTGGGATCACACGGTGGTTGATTGAACATGAAGTTTAATGAAAGAAAGGAGTAAGGCATGTGTTGACTTCACAGACAGCTTTAGAAACTGGCTGAAAAGCTTCTCACCTCCTTGAAGTTGCAACAGCCTGGGGCTTCTTCCTATGGAACAATGCCCTGTATGGATTATCTCAATGTATGGTTACTTATTACATGTGTTTACACAGGTCTGCCTTAATTTTCCACTCAAGGACATAACTATCCTTTGTGAATTATTTCACAATATTCTTTTGTATGACACTGGCTTCTAGTTAAATGTTCCTTGGGGTTTTAAAAATTATTTTATTACTTATGTTGAAATGATTGGTTAATGGTATGTATCTGTTTTTAAAATCCAGTATTTGGATTGAGTTTGTATTTCAGTGACCAAAGACTTCTGATCTTCCAGGGCCCACTTATGTAACGAATTACATAAGTAAGTTTTTCTATACAAATATACATGCATATGTAGAGATGCATTTTTAATCTACAAAGTAATATAAGCTTAATGAAGCAAAAGTAGGTGATATGTATCTTAAATATCATGTTCTAGTAGCTGATTAGTCTGTTATTCGGTGACTTAGTTTGGAATCAGCTATCAACTTAGTTGGTCATAGCCTAGTGTTTGTCAGTCGACAGTCCATCTTGATCCCCCTTTAAAACAAGCTCATACAAGTGCTGTGCTTTTTGTACTGTGATTCACCCAACATATGATAGAGAATGCTTTGGGGATTCTAGATTCTATTTAAATGGCTGTTTGAAAGGAATTGGTAAAAAAAAAAAAAAAAAGGCGGGGGGAGGAGGACTGAAAGATTTTAAAAAGATGAGGATCTGCTGTCTTGCATTAGTGGTGTTTAGTGGTGTTTTGGTGATAACCACTCTGGTATGAAGTGGTCTTTGAGATGTTCCCAGAATGTTTGGGATTTAAATCATGTGGATTATATGGTCAGAACTGGAACTGAGCAGTGGTGTTTTGGGGAAACTTGTTGCTTAAATGGGTGGGAAATTTTATTTAGTGATATTAAAATAAAATGATCAACAAAAGGGTAAGGGGGCATGGAGGTGTTTTATTTTTTAAAACAAAGAAATGGTTTTCTGGGATAACTTAGTGCATGTGGCACTTGTAGGCTATATAGCTGGCTGATAGATATTTTTCTTTCATAAAATCTGCCCTTTTAAAACTTCCTGTCACAGGTTGTATAGAGGTTGGAGGTGGTCAGACAGGTTTGGCAGTGGTGTCTGTGCCCAGTGCAACATGCCCTTGGCAACTGCCCCTCCCATAACATGCTGCCTTAGACTAATTACCACTTCCCAGCAAGTGGCTTACCCGGGAGCTCACTTTGTAGCTTCTACCCAGCAGAGCGGCTGCTTGGCTAGTCAGGACCATGGCTGGAAGAAGCACAAGCCTAAATTAGATTAGTGTAGTCTAAGGAATAGCAAATATTTTCACTTATTATTTGTTTATTGTGAAGTAGGGAAGTCAAGTATTTCCTTTTAAAAATCGGGACTGAATGGTGACATAATCAGAAATATATATTGTGAGATGGATCCTGGATTAAATCTCAATTCTTCTTGTACGTCTGGTCAGTATTTTAGGTGGCCCTGATTTTATTTGACTTCATTAGGAGAATATGCAAAAGGCGAGTGAGAGATAGAGAGGAGAGAGAGAAATTGTTTAGAGAGAAATTGTTTAGAGGCAAGGTGTGGCTGTTTGATTACATAGCGATCAGTCCTGTTTGTGTTGACTTTTGATAACTTAAGTGGGAAGAAAACATGTGCTCTCTGTAATTCCTGTGAATCATAACCTAATTACATAAAATGTGCCACACCTTAAATAACTTGCTAGTGAGTAAGGTTCAAAACTAAATGAGTAGTTTCTGGATTAGAATGACTAGATAAAAAGGTATTCTTTCAAAATTCTGGAATTTCTTCGAGAATACTAAATTTGTTCTAACATAAGGATGGATTCATATTTTAAAATATAGTCTATTTTTTTTTAAAACAAAGTGCTTTTGCTTTAAGACTTTTATAGATCTTTGTAAATTTTTTTGCCATGTTTTGAGGATACAGAAGTTAATTTAACAGATTTTTTTTCCAGGTCTTAACATCTTCAGCCCTTTTTATTTTTTATTTTGAGATAGGATCTCACCAGGTAGTCTAGGCCAGGCTTCAATTTATGGTCCTCTTGCTCTGCCTCTGTAGGCACACAACACTGTGGCCTGCTTACTTTAATTCTGAAAGCAATTATAGTTTTGTCAGTTAACAGATCTTGTATCTAGGTATAGCATTGCTGGGCATGGTGGAGAGATGAAGAGTCAAGACCTAGAGGATCCTGGGTGGGTTGTAAAGGTAGCAGGGATTAGGGAGAAGTGTGGTGGTCAGCATTGTTTCACATATGTTTGAACTCTGTGGCTAACCTGGATTTAAAAGTTAGTGAATTTCCAATTCAGGATTTTCTGTAAGCTGTCTAGTGGGACAAGGGTGCCTGCCCTCCAGTGGCAAGTACATGTCTAGGATAGCTGATGTCCTTGCTGTTAGCTTCTTGCCTTCCTATCTGTCTGGGGATCTGGGCCAGATGATATTCCTACAACAGGTTTCTCTACTGTGACTGCTTTTCTCCACTATAGCCTCCACTCTGTTTGTTACTACTTACCATTCCTATGCAATCATCTTTACTTTCTCAACCATTCCACCCTTAGAGACCCAATCAAGCTATTTTTTCTAGATGGTTCACCAATGTCTTTGGTGGTATTAGCTACAAGTGGCTTATCATATGTAACAGTCTTAAGTTGGAAACTGAGTATTTAAAATATTTCTCATCTTCTCTCTCTTTTGGTCTCTGTGCTAGGATTCAATAGTCTTATGAAGTTGCAATAAACAACTCTGCTCAAATTAAGGATACTTCATGAAAAAGATTAAGGAAAGTCATCAGTTTGCTTCTTACCTTTGTAATAAGATTTGAGATATTTTAATATGTTGGAAATTTAACTTAGCTTTTAACATTGGTTTACCCAAAAAGGTTATATTACACAAAGCACTCATTGTGGATTTTTCTCTGCATATATTTGTTCATACTAAAATGATTGTAATGGAGGAGTATGTAATTTCCCATAAGGAACAGCTTTTGATGAATATACAAATTCTTTAAGGTAGACTAAATAATCTGATACTGAATTTGACTTGTGTGCTATCTTGTTTAAGAGACAGTTAACACCCAAATCTGTCTTTCAGGCAGTAACAGAGAAGAATTTTGAAACAGAGGATTTTCGAGCTTCTCTAGAAAATGGCATCCTGTTGTGTGAGTAAGTATATAAAGCATTTAAAAATAATTCAGGAATGATGTGTTTGTGTTTGTAGGGAAGAGGTATTATGAGATGCCCCATACTGCGATCCATGACTTCTGTAGTCACAGATGTGTATTGTTGGTCACAGTGAGATTTGATCTCTGTGAACTGACACCCCCAGGGTAGGAGGGAGGAAGAGGGGATTATCAGTCTCTATCTACAGATAGTGTAGGTGAAATGTATATTATTTTAAATTAGTAAATAAGAAAGATTCTATTAGTGCATGATGGGCCAGTCGATGTATGTGGTTGAAGAGGAAAGCTTATTAGATTTCATTCCCTATCCCTTACTCTGAATAGTCTAGCATGTAGAATTACATGGTTTTGACATTAATATAAGATTACTGTACTTTATTTGTCAGTAAGTCATGATGACTGGAGCAACAGATTTTTATGTATTAATTGTGTCATTTTAATACCCAAAACAATGTAAATTGTGGGCCATTTAATTAATAGATACTATGGAGAACCATATTGCAGGCTATGGTTATCATTAGTAAAAATAGTCTCATGCCGTGATTAATTATACAAGGCCTATATTGTATGGTAAGTGTAATGTTTGGCTCTCCAGTGGATATATAGAAGAGTTTATGTGACCTTTGGGGATAAGAGGCAGGCTGGCAGGCCTGTGAGATAAATGGATGAAATCCAGGAAGAAGGGAAAGTGAACAATAAATTGTAAGAATGTACTTGAGTGCCTGTGCACATTTACGAAAACACTTAATCATTCCAATTTAGACACTTATTACATAGATATTTGTGGAATCTGTCCTCATGTAAGCACTAGAGTGAATGTATTAGTACTTAGGTAATTTGATTGTCCTTTTGAAGGATGTTGTTTGCAAAAAGAAATCTAGAATCAAAGTGCTAGATTCCATGGTCTTGTTACTTTTGAACAGTAGAATAAAATACTTCTGTTTAGTCTGAGCAGGTGACAATATTTGATCCCTACTTTCTCATCTGTGGAAATCAGGATATCATATCTACCTAATTCATAGGGTTGTTGTATTGAACAATGCATCTGTTGAGGTTTTTAAACCTCAACTATTAAACTATTAAACTATTAAACCTTGTATAAATACAAGTTGTCATTAGGAAGATGACCATGTAAGTCAGCTCTGTTGGCAGATGTTTAAACTTTGAGTATCCTCTCCCATATGAGGTTTCTAGCATTCAACCACTTGTGACCTACAGACATGTCAATTTCATATGGCTACACCTAATATATGCCAGGACAGGCATGTAGAACAGGGCCAGGAGGAAAATTTAAATGATAGTTCCTAGTTTTCTTCAATGTCATTCAGAATCTTTGTTGGATAGTCTTTAAACTCCATTAAGTAGGCCACATGGTTATCCCAGTTAGTCAGTGAGGGGAAATTATATTGATTTGTGTGTTATAAATATTGCCATCTGTTAGAAAGCACCAGTGACCTGTAAACTCAGTACAAACTATTAGAAGTTTACAGCAAAATAACTATCAGTTCTAAGCCTTACATCTCCATGTAGGAGTTAGGTGGGTTTATGTAGAGTGGTGGGTGGGTTTTTTGATTGATTAAAGTGTATACCCTAATATAGGATCTATTCAAAGATATAGATTGTATATTTTTTGTGAGCTGCTCAGAATATTTTAGGGATCCCACTTTTTGTACCATTACTTCTGTAAGTCACTGAATGAATTTGATAATAACACCTAATTTTTGACTTAAAGCATAATTTTTGATCATTTGGCCTCTAAATGATTTGAAATGTTATTCAAAAACGATATTCAGGGGCTGGGGGTTTAGCTCAGCGGCATAAGCGCCTGCCTTGCAAGTGTGTGGTCATGAGTTTGATCCCTGGTACCGATAAAAAGGAAAAATAAAAATAAAAAAAGATATTCAGCCTGAAAAGAGAGAAATTTTTTTTATAAGTTAGGATATTCATAGTTGATAAATGTTTCAACCAAAAAATAATACAAATTAGAATAAATGTATAATTCTACCTTAATGACAACAAACATATAGGCACATGGTTAAAGACAGTATTATTTTGCTTTTAGGTTTCTTTATTAACAAATTTCCAAATGCTAATTCTTAGATTATTTCCAAATTGGAATAACTAATTTGAAGTTTTGTGTATTATCATGAAAGTCGAATCAATTTTTTTAAATACTCAGCATTTTAAAATCTTTGTTTTTATTTTAAAGAGGATAAAAGAGAATAAAATCAAAATAAACCAGTGTAAGTGATACAAGACTTCAAAATATTACAAAATCAACAATAGTTACCATAATGCCTCTTGATGTTTTCAACATAGTTGCAGATAACTTTGGACATAGTAAAAATCAAACAGAACAGAGTAGAAATAATAAAAACAAAATTATGAGTGCAATACAGGATTTCAAAACAAGCCAATAGTAAACCCAAAATTGCTACCATAATATTTCTTGCTATCTTTGAAATAGCTGCTTCTGCCATTGGATTTGGCATAATCAAGCAAAACAAAAGAAAATAAAACTCGACCCAACAGAACAGGGGAAATGATGTAGGACTTCCAAAACAAGACCACAGGGAATCCGCAATGGCTACAACCCTCAGAAGGAGATCCCCGCTAGATGCCACACTGTGTACTGCTATCCTCTGAACCTCTGGTCAGACCACTGGCCCTAGCCCTGCCATGTTAGTTGAACACTAAAGCACCACAGGGGCATCCAATTGCATTTCACCTGCATAGCTGTCATCATCGTGGCCTGTGTTTTCCGGATAAGCCGGTCACTTACTACGGGGGGTTTGGAGGAGTGGGGTGGGGTGTTGGTACTTCTTGTTTGCCAGCCTCTGTGCTGAAGGGGTTGAGGTCTGGCTGTTCCCAGTCTGGTGGTGGCCTGCACATGGTGCTGGTCCCCAGACTGGGTTTGCTTGTTGGTATGGCTTAGTTTTTTTTCTCTACTCCTGGCCCACAAATGGTGCTGACTCACAGGGAGAGGTTAGGGTCTGTCTGTTCCAGTCTGATGGTGGCCTGCATGTGGCGCTGGTTTCCAGACTGGGCTTGCTTCCTGGTGTGGGCTTTTCTCTTTACCCCTGGTCCACGAATGGCCACTCAGCATTTTTTAAATTAATGATTCTGAAAAGATACTTACGTAAGTGGCAATCAGCAGTGGTGTCGTTTACTGTGGTACATCAAAGTGCTGCCTAATATTTATATTTAAAAAACTTTGTCTAAATTGTAGATCACGTTGTTCATCAGCACTAATCAATAAAAAACAAAAAGGTGTAATGTTGAGGGTTGGTTAAGTCCAGGTAACACTATTTATAAATCTGTAAGTAAAGAAACCTTTGCTAGTTGGTCTAGGAAATGTTGAAGCAGGTTCTACTGCTTGTGGCCACAACTACTGGAATTATATGTAAAGAAGATAAAGGCTGTTGTATAGGCTCTAATGTTTAAATTAATAGCAAATATAGGAAGATGTCTTTAAGAATGCTTTGCCCGTTAGGTCTTATTTTCTAGCTGAAATACAATTAGGATATTTTTGAAATCTGGATCATTTTCTGACTCGGGAAGTTGGGCTGATTTCTCTTTGGCTCACTGTCAGAACTGTAAGTCTTGTATAACATAGGGTCTGTTTGTTGTTTGTTAAAAATGATTAGACATTTTTGTTCATTATCACCAATAAAGAGTATTCTTAATATTTCATCTACTAATCTTACCAGCTTTTTATCCTCCTGTAGTGTTTTTCTTTTTAAATTGGCATTCTGAAATATCAAAGTCAAGAGTAAGAGGAGCTTATTATAACTTTCATTCAGCTGACAGTGGTGACATTTCAGAACATCTAAATTGGGCATAAACGGTGCTGAGGATTTGGGCACATTGCATATCTCAGTACAAGGGTATTTTGGGGCATTTGTTGACTTCTGCTGTGAATGACACTTAAAGTTAATGTGTTCATATTAATCATTTTCATTACATTTAGTTTGACTGAGGGTGAGACCCAGTAAGTAGAGGGCTAAATCATATTCCACTAGTGGAAGTCAGTACAGCAATCTTTTTGCTGTTTATTTTAGACATATAGTGTCTTCTGACTTTACTAAATAATGAAATGGGAACAAATCAGATTTTTTCTAATTAACAAAAGGATTGACAAAAATGAATGATTGCAGCTCATGTTAATTTTCTATAAATTTTATTAAGAGTATCATTAATCTGCCTTGTCTTTTCAGGGGTAGTGTTCCAGGGACCATCCTGTTATGTATTTTATAATACATATAAATATATATATGTGTGTATATATATATATATATATATATATATATATATATATTTTTTTTTTTTTTTTTTTTTTTTTTTTGGTCTTTTTCCTTTTTATCGGTATCAGGGATCGAACTCACGACTGCCTGCTTGCAAGGCAGGCGCTTATGCCTCTGAGCTAAATCCCCAGCCCCCATATAAATATATTTTAAGAGATTTACCACTACATAAATGTTTATAGCCCTGTTTTGCTGGCAGCCCTGGCAGAATTCCTGTATTTGGTTCAAGCCTACCTGGCTGGTAATAACAGTAATTTCCAGTTACTCACTCTGTGATGGTAGTCTTGGAAATACTTAGGTGAAAACATTCTTTATTTCTCAATTAAACAAGAAAGTTTGTTAGAAGTTAGTCTGATTGGATGTATTATTGAGGGTCAGTCTATACTTCCTTTTCCTGGAATGGTCCCAAGCTTTTGCTCTGCCCTTGTTGACCACACATACCAGAAGTTTGTGCCCTTTTGAAGATGTGGCTCATATTATTGAAAAAAATTCTCACACTGGCATCCAGTTTTCTTTTGCTTTGTTTGCTGCATAGGAAGACTGGGGCAAGATGTTAGTCTCTTGGTACAAGAAGTGCTATTTCTTTGTATCTGCTTTGTGACTATTACATTGCCTAACGTATCATAATAATTTATCAGAGACACACTGACAGAAGAATAGAAATTTACAAACATTATTT